CTCTCTATCATCTCTCTCTCTATCATCTCTCTATCATCTCTCTCTCTCTCTCTCTCTCTCTCTCTCTCTTTCATATCTCTCTCTCTCTCTCTCTCTCACATCAATTCATCTATCTATCTATCTATCTATCTATCTATCTATCTATCTCTTTGACTTATTAATTGATCGATCAATCCCTCTCTCATCCCTCTCTCTCTCATCTATCTATCTATCTATCTATCTATCTATCTATCTATCTATCTATCTCTCTGTCTCTATCTATTTGTCATCAATTGATCTCTATCTATCTATCTATCTATCTATCTATCTATCTATCTATCTATCTATCTACCTACCTATCGATCATTCTATCTATGTATCTTTTAGATTGTAAGCCCTCAGGGGCGGGGCCCTCCTTACCATCTTGTCTTGGATTGTATTGTGATTGTGATTGTAATGTCTTCCTTATATTGTAAAGCGCTGCGCAAACTGTTGGCGCTATATAAATCCTGTGTAATAATAATAATAATGATGTATCTGCATATGTAGAACAATGGACTGTGATGAGGAGATAATTCATCTTCCATGATATGTGTGGTCGGATGTCTTGACCTGAGATGTATCTACACTCACACGTCCTCTCCGGGGGAGACATCCGCCCAGTGCCGGGTGTAGTTGGGATTATCCGGATGCCGGGTGTCGGGATTAGTGTTTCACTTTTGGCTCATTATATTTATTCTAATTACAATGTTCTCTGTGACACAACACTGGAGCTGTAACCGGCAATGGACAGGAAGTGCCGGCGGAGATTTCTCTGAGAAGAATCGTGAGCTCTGAATGTCGCTTTGAGACGGGTTTTTAGTATTTTATTTCTTTAATGTGATTAGGACTAGAAATGTTCATAGATATTATCAGTCCCCTGAAGATGGAATAGAAATATTTGGTGTATTTGTTTAGCCAGCAGATGGCGCTCTCTCTGCACATTTTCTTCTGTCTTGACTCCTGTTGTTTAAAGACCTCAATAGCTCAAGCTGAGATGTACAAACACGAGCTAAAGTGTTACTAAACCCTTAATGACAAAATGCAACCAGTGTGTAGCAGCGAACCTCACATATTTCTATCACGTTGTTCTGTTTGTCTTTTTAGCTGAATCTTCCAGCAGAACTATTTCCATTGTATTTGTACCTATATTTTCTATACAGTATTGATATAGCGGTCACAGTTTGCACAGTGATTTTCAATATGGAGGGAGGCAGTTACTTTGACCCTCCCTCCTCATTGGCCTACCTCTACACAGGCTCCTCCCCCTTCAGTCTATCACGAATGCTGCTGCTAGACTCATTCACCTAACCAACCGCTCAGTGTCTGCAACCCCCCTCTGCCAATCCCTGCACTGGCTTCCATCCCCCGCCCTCCTCTGCCAATCCCTGCACTGGCTTCCATCCCCCGCCCCCTCTGCCGATACCTGCACTGGCTTCCATCCTCCACTCTATAGAGGGATCATAACCTCCTTCCTCCTGCTGGGGACCCCTCTAGTGATAATAAAGATCTATATAGAGGAATCAGGACCTCCTTCCTCCTGCTGGATGTCATTACCGGAGGCAGCGCTGCCTGGGGGAGGAAACTGGCAAGCAATTAGTAGGGATACAATTTGATTAATACTGTAATTGTATTTATTATCTCCCTGAGACAAAAGTAGTAAATGTGAAGAGACGAGGACATTTGTATCCTCCCTGCTGCACTGGGGAGACTATGGACAGGATTTTATTTGGTCCTTCAACCCCAACTACTCCAAATGAAAGTGTTTCTACAGGCAAAGCTTCTTTTTTTTTAGTTTTGGATAGAGTAAGGAGGGAATAGATCCCATTTCAGGAATTTATGTCATTGAGAGTGCCGGACCAATGAATCTTTTATTATCGATGTGAGTTCATTATAAGATAACATAAAACAACCAACGCGTTTCAGAGGTTCAAAGATCTCCCCCTTCTTCAGGGCTACAAGACAAATACAAAAATATAAATTTCTATATTAATCAATTCACATCAAAATTCTCAAAAAAAAAAGGAACACAACTAAATAATGGTAATCCCAAATACTTATCTCTCGTCTTGAATATTGCAACTCCCTCCTCATTGGCCGACCTCTACGCAGGCTCCTCCCCCTTCGGTCTGTCATGAATATAATACCCCAAAGGATAAAATTCAAAATATTGCCAACCACTTACAAAGCCATCCACAACTCCGCCCCCGGCTATATCTCAAACCTCATCCCAAAGTATCACCCTATGACCTCCTGCTTTCCAGCTCCTTCATCAACTCCTCCCATGCTCACCTCCGGGACTTCTCTAGAGTCTCTCCCATTCTCTGGAACTGTTTACCCCAACCTGTCCGTCTATCTCCCACCTTGACTGCCTTTAGGCGTTCCCTTAAGACTAATCTCTTCAGGGAAGCCTATCCCACCTCAACCTGACCGCTCAACCATCACTTTCTCAGACAATTCATCCCCACACAGCTCCCTCCTCATGTATCACTGGCCCCTCCCTTTTAGACTGTAAGCCCTCAGGGGCAGGGCCCTCCTTACCATCTTGTCTTGGATTGTATTGTGATTGTAATGTCTTCCTTATATTGTAAAGCGCTGCGCAAACTGTTGGCACTATATGAATCCTGTATAATAATAATAACTTATACAAAACTGTTCTATTATGTCTGATTGTATTCATAAAATAGAGACCCGTGGGAGCAGATCTCATTCAAAATGGACAAGTTGGCTTTGAAGTTTAAATGCGTCAAAAAGGTTCTAACAATAAAATTAAATGCAATGGGAGCAGGTAAAAATAAATGGGGAAATAAAGACAAATTAATATTAAATTTCATTATAGATCCGATGGAACATAATTAGCAAGAGAGCGAAACTAAAACACATTCAAATCTAACTTGTAAAATAAGAATTTGAGCTATTAAATGATGAAATAATGAATGATAATATGATTAATAATTCAATAATCTGCCATATTTCATTAATGCTACTACTACAACAACTACTACTAATAATAATAATTAATAATAGTAATAATAGTTATATTTTTGTTTTATTATTATTTATTTATGTCATTATTATTCATTATTTAATATTATAATATTTCATATTTTTACGAAAGAATCCATCATGGATTCTATAGGCCCTTATTTTATGAATATTATCAGCATACTATAAGGTGCATATTTAGAAAATGTTCGCAGAGCCGTTCATTGTGCGAACATCTGACTTTTCTGGAAAAAAAATAAATCAAGGCAACTGGAGTTGCTGTATATTTTCTTGAAGACATTTTGCTGGTTTTCTGACCAGCTTTCTCACTTCAGAATTGAGAAAGCTGGTCGCGTGACCTGCAAAACCCCTTCAACAAAAATACAGCGAGTCCAGTTGCCTTGGCTCATTGTTTAGAGATCTACCCTGACCTGGATGAATGAGAACTTTCACAGACATCTGCAACGCATTATGGCCACTACATGGGGCTGACGAGCACAGGAAATTCCTATGCTCGTTGGTTCCCTCTAGTGGCCATAATGAGGTACAAATGTAAAAGTCAGATGGTCGCAGAGTGAACGGCTCTGAGAAAACGTTTTGTAAATACACTCCTAGGAGTATTTCGGATTGCCGTGGATTTAGTTGTATTTATATTGTAGAAATATATTGTAAATTGATTATTAGAGGAATTTATATTGTTACAGCCATTTGTATATCTGCCCTGAAGAGGGGAAGCTTTTTAACACCCTGATACACATTGGCTGCAGTGGCGTAACAATCACCATAGCGACCCAGGCAGCCGCTATGGGGCCCTGGGGCACAGGGGGGCCCGGCCAGGACATCCCCCTGATGCCGTGCGTGCCACCTGGGTTGCTATGACATCTCAGGCTGCTGGCTGTCACTGGCGGCTGTGAGTAGAAACACGCCGAGTCGGTCACAACCAGCAGCTTCGGAGGAGGTTGCTGGGCCCGTCGTCGGCAGTGATGGAGGAGGCGGGGCCCAGCGATCAAGGAAGCGGGTGTTAGCAGTGGCGGAGGTGGGCCCGCCGATCGAGGAGGTGGAGCCCAGTGATGGAGGAGGCGGGGCCCGCAAGCGATTGTGGAGGAGAAGGAGGCGGACAAAGGATTGGGCAGACCGGTAAGAGGGCGTGACCGCCCACCTAGATAGTCTATGGTGGGCTCTGCAGGGTCACCCTCAGGTGGGTGGTTTGGGTTATCAGGTGGACTTATCTAGAAATCACAGGGCCCCATACAAGATTTTGCTATGGGGCCCTGTGATTTCTAGTTACGCCCCTGATTGGCTGTTATATTTTTTACTTGCTATGAGCTATGAGCCGAGCGGCACTTGGCTTGGCTATTCTGCTCGGTACCTAAGTGGTACCGAGCAGAATAGAAAATCAGTGAAAAAAGTAGAAGAAAAGTAGAAAAAAAATATATTTTAAAATGTAAATAAATGATACTTTTAAAAAAATAAATAAAGATTTCTTTAAAAAAAATAAAAAAATATATAAAAAAAAACCCAGTGACAGCTAGCTCCGCCCAACTGTTTCCTATTGAACGGGACCTGCTAGAGTCTTCTAGCAGGTCCCGGCCAATGAATAACAGCTGGGCGCAGCCGGCCGTGACGTCACGGCTGGCTCCGCCCGGTTGTCATTGTTTAATGACAGTTTAGCGCCCCCTGGTAACCTGGGGACGCTGATCTGTCATTGCAACTGGGCAGAGCCAGCCGGGAGTCGCAAGGTTTTCGGCCGGCCTGTTCAGCCTGCTTCGGTTGTCACTTCGGCTCAGTCGGGCTGAAGTTTATGCCTTCGGCTCGGCTAGACCACTCGGCCAGCTTCACGAGCTGTACGGGCTATAGTGAATAGCGCGTACAGCAGCCCTTCGGTTCTACTGAACCAAAGGGCTCAGGCGGCCGAAGCTAGCTGAAGGATCCGCCGGAGCTCCGGCGGATCCTTCGGCTAGCTTTGCGAATAACCCTCTTAGTTCCCGTGTCTCCGAGACAGGAAGTGGAAGGAAATCTTCCCACCTGGAGAGCAAAATATACCTGATGAGGTTCTAATTATTACTTATTATATTGGTCTCTGCCAACAGTGCAGCTCCGGTGATCCGGGGAACCTTCCCTCCATCTTTCAGACTCTCCACTCACACTGAATTGAAATTTCTACAATCACGTACAGTAAATATTAATTGAGCGCACTTTTCCATCCTCTCACTTTCCTCCATCTTTACTATGGTGCCCATTCTTACTTGACTAGCCTATTCTTCAGAATGCCTCTATGTTCTCAGTTCCTCTCGGCACCTTAATCTCAGCACTCAGATATGTATTAGGTTTTCTGCCATCCCCCATCGCGGTGGCCTTGGGCACACAATGCTGACATTTGGGCTGGCCTTCAAATCCCTAAATCCAAATGGCAACCATTTGTGTCAAGGTCATGGGGTAGGGTGTCCGAGGGAAAAACTGTCTAACCGTGGTTCCCCGTGACTGGAGGTGCCTTCACTTATCTCAGAGACATGTGACCCTATCCCGGACAAACATGGCCCCCTATCTCTTCTGTTCCCTATTAGACTGTAAGCTGTGATGATAAGAAAATCTCATACCTCCTTTTCCCTATTAGATGTAATGATCAGGACTCTCATACCTATGGTCCATATTAGCCTGTAGGTTGTATTGATCAAGACCCTCGTACCTCCTGTTCAGTATTAAGCTGTAAGCTGTGATGAGCAGGACCCTCATACCCCCTGTTCCCTATTAGATGTAATGATCAGGACCCTCATACCCCCCGTTCCCTATTAGATGTAATGATCAGGACCCTCATACCTCCTGTTCCCTATTAGATGTGAGCTGTAATGATCTGGACTCTCATACCTATGGTCCATATTAGCCTGTAAGTTGTATTGATCAGGACCCTCATACCTCTTGTTCCCTATTAGATATAATCTGTAATGATTAGGACCCTCATACCTCCTGTTCTCTATTAGACTGTAAGCTGTGATGATCAGGACCCTCATACCTCTTGTTCCCTATTAGATGAAATCTGTAATGATCAGGACCCTCATACCTCTTGTTCCCTATTAGACTGTAATCAGTAATGATCAGGACCCTCATACCTCCTGTTCCCTATTAGCCTGTAAGCTGTAATGATCAGGACCCTCATACCTCTTGTTCCCTATTAGACTGTAATCTGTAATAATCAGGACCCTCATACCTCCTGTTCCCTATTAGCCTGTAAGCTGTAATGATCAGGACCCTCATACCTCCTGTTCCCTATTAGACTGTAAGCTGGAATGATCAGGACCCTCATACCTCCTGTTCCCTATTAGACTCTAAGCTGGAATGATCAGGACCCTCATACCTCCTGCTCCCTATTAGAAGAAATCTGTAATGATCAGAACCCTCATACCTCTTGTTCCCTATTAGACTGTAATCTGTAATGATCAGGACCCTCATACCTCCTGTTCCCTATTAGCCTGTAAGCTGGAATGATCAGGACCCTCATACCTCCTGTTCCCTATTAGACTCTAAGCTGGAATGATCAGGACCCTCATACCTCCTGCTCCCTATTAGAAGAAATCTGTAATGATCAGAACCCTCATACCTCTTGTTCCCTATTAGACTGTAAGCTGGAATGAGCAGAACCCTCATACGGTATATTCTGTATGGCTAACAATGTATGTTTTATGTATCGGATCTTCTAGATGAGCAGTACAGAATATGATTGGGCTATGTAAAGATGATGATGATAATAAAATGTTCTACTTTTTCCCTATTATAGGTGGAGCGCTGTTGGCGTACGATACAAGTTCCGGCACCAACTTCACAAGTAACTCCTCCCAAGGCTTCAGCTTCATCTGTTTCCCTGAAGTTCCCAGCTCGGACATAGCAGGCCCGCTCGTGTTCTTACTCATTGTGGCCATCGTGTCCAATGTGCTCTTGTTGCTCATCCTCTTCTTTGAGCCGAGGCTCCACCACCCGATGTATTACTTCTTGGCCATGCTGGCCATGGTGGACATCCTTCTCTGCACTGTCACAACGCCCCGAGTCCTGCTCATCCTCTGGACGGAAGATAAAACCATCACGGAAGCGGCCTGCTTTAGCCAAATGTTCTTTATCACCTTCTGGTCGGCCATGGAGTCCTCCATATTTCTAGTCATGGCTTACGATCGATATGTGGCTATCTGCAACCCTCTTCACTACCCTACCATTGTGACGAACAAACTTGTGGCCAAGGCTTGCGTGTTCACTGTTGTCAGGAATTTGGTGGTCGCCTTGCCGCCTCCTCTACTGGCGTCAGGTCTTGACTATTGCGCCAGTAGACAAATTCTTCATTGCTTCTGCGAGAACATGTCTGTGGAGAAGCTGTCTTGCAGCGACTACACCCCCAGCAGCATCTTTGGGTTGGTGTGCTTCTTGTTGTTCGGAGGAACGGACGTTTTCCTCATCGTCGTTTCCTACATCCTCATTCTCCGCACGGTGGTGATAGCTCGCTCCTTCAGCGCTGCCTGTAAAGCCTTCCGCACATGTGGCTCTCACCTTATTGTAATCTGTATATTTTACTTCACAGTGGCCTCCACGATAGTGTCCATCCGGACCATCCAGGAGCTACCCCACCCTGTTCATGTAATATTTTCTATTCTGCACCATCTTTTGCCTCCGTTGCTGAACCCAATTGTGTATGGGATGTTGACCAAGGAGATCAGACACTCTGTAGAGAGGATGATTGGGAAGATAAAGATCCATCCATGAGTTGTGTGTGACTGGAAACAGGACTCATCTTTTTTTTTTTGATCCTAAGTCAAGAATTGAAAGAAAAACCTTTTTGGACTGGAGATGTTCCAACATGAATGGAGCATGGATCAGGTTGAGTTTTATGGATGGCAGTTGAGGATTGATGGTACATTTGGAAATTCTCCCCGTTACACATAAAGATCAGAATGAGAATCAAGTGACCTTCTCAGACAGGATTGGGATTTGGTTCAGATCTCTGATGACTGAGAGTTGGATGATAAGAAGATAGTGAAAGGTGTTCTTCTCTGTAGCTGGGCGGAAATGAGTCAACCTAACCTCAATACATGGTTCTGTAGGATTTTGCAGCTGATGATCCAAGTCAAAAATTGGAAGAAAACTCTCTTTTTGGACATTGAGATGCTCCAACATGGAAGGAACACGGATCAGGTTACGTTGTATGGATGGCAGTTGAGGATTGATGGTTTATTTGGAGGTTCTCGTCTCTCAACATAAAGATCACAATGGGAATAAAGTGACCTTCTCAGACAGGATTGGGATTTGGTTCAGATATCTGACAACTGAGAGTTGAAAGATAAGAAGATTTTGAAAGCCCAGGTATGAAAATGCTGGTTCTCAGAGAGAGAGAGAGCTCCTTCAGTTCTTCTCATCTGTAGCAGGCCAAAAAGGAGTCAACATAACCTCAATACACGGTTATTAAGGGTTCTGCAGATGATGATGATGCCTGGTTGACCATTGTCCATTATTATATAGGATTTATATAGCGCCAACAGTTTGCGCAGCACTTTACAATATAAATTTGCCATGAATGGGGAGCTACTAACACTGAACCCGCCCTGTGATTGGACAGTGAAAGAAGAAGCAGCAGACTGATGAGCTCATGTATCTGCCACGCTGCTTTCTCCTATCAGCATGCTCCAACATACCTGTGAGTGGCTACTTGTGCTTCTCAACCCCCTCTCAGACATCTGTTATAAAGGAAAAGCAAAAGGCTGATACCAGGTCACATGAAGTGCTTACACTGCTTGTATTTTGTACAAATAAATGTAATAATGTGTTATTGATGACAGAGCTGCATTATTTTTTTGCCTTTTTTTTTAATCTCCTCCGGAGTTTGGCTTTAACCTAACTCTTGGCACTTAACTCCGACCTTTTGCCCTTAAATTTGGCCTAACACCAGAGCCGGATTTCATACAAGGCCACCGAGGCCCGGCCTTGGGGCAGCAGGAAGTAGAGGGGCAGCAGGGGTGTGGAATTCCTATCTCCTGACCCCCGGGACATGCAGTTTCGGGTGCCGGGCGGGTAGTTTTTTTCTACATTTAGCCCTGGGCAAGCTGAGCTAATTGTACAGCCGGGGAAGCCGCCTCTTGTTTTCTATAAGTGATCTCAGGGGTGTCCCCGAGATCACTTGTATGCAGCCTGTAGGTCTGTCCCTCCCTCCCCCCCCGCAGAGCCAACACATTGCTGTGCTAGAACTCCTGTATTGGAGGTGACATGGTCAATACAGAGAACCTGTCAGCTCCAAATGCTATCACACAGGGGCTTGTTAGCTCCTGTGTGATAGCAGTTAACTGAAGTGAAAAAAAAAACCAAACAAAAAAATAAAATAAATAAAAATTATGAAGAAAATAATCATTTAAATTAAAAAAATAAAAGAAGTGATAAAAAAATCAAAACATAATAAAATAGAACAATTATAAAAAAATTAAAGAGTAAAAGATAATAAGATAAAAAAATAAAAATTAAAACCAACCGGCCGCCCCCATCTTCTGGTTGCCATTCTCCATTAAGGGAGTTTGGGGGGGGGCGCATTGAGGAACCTGGCCTTGGGGCAGCAGTCCCTGCCTAACACATAACACTGACTCTATCCTTACTACTAACCATACATGTGGCATTCCTGTGGCTATGAGTTTTATCAATGGGCGATATTTTGCATGGGCTGTAGTGTACACACAGGCCATTCATTACACAATGAGAAATTATAATGAGAACACGAGATATATGAATCTCATGTGATCACTTTACAACAGGTTTGGTCAGTGAATGGAACGTGCTGACAAATGGCTGGCAAGGAACATGAAACCTTTGCCAATTTCATCCAGGTTCCTTGCTGAGCAACAAAGAGGGGAGACGATGAAGGTTGGAACATCACATGACCATTATTCTAAAGAAATGGCCAGCACCTGGACTTATCTATATGCTCAGTGCACAATATGATGGGGATCTTTGTTTCAAGCTTGCTGCTTGCTGAAGTAAGATTTAAAGGAGAACTATGGGGTCAGGGCTTTTCCCCATAGTTCTCCTTAGGGTAACGGGAGGACAAAAACTAGAGTCCTCCCATCACCCTAGGCTCAGTATACCGTGAGCTGTAGCTCCCTATATACTGAGACGCTGCAGCTGAAGCGGATCCCGACAATTGTGCCGGGATCCGCCCAGCTGCGTGACTGACAGCTGGCTCTGCCTATCTAGAGGCAGAGCCAGCTGTACCCGCCCCTCCCCCGTCCCTTCCGCCACTCAGCGCCGGAGGATCCGAG